TCTTCCTGACCCTTTACCCATCTTCCTGACTCCTTACCCATCTTCCTGACCCCTTACCCATCTTCCCGACTCCTTACCCATCTTCCTGACCCCTTACCCATCTTCCTGACCCCTTACCCATCTTCCCGACTCCTTACCCATCTTCCTGACCCCTTACCCATCTTCCTGGCCCCTTACCCATCTTCCCGACCCCTTACCCATCTTCCTGACCCCTTACCCATCTTCCTGACCCCTTACCCATCTTCCTGACCCCTTACCCATCTTCCCGACCCCATACCCATCTTCCTGACCCCTTACCCATCTTCCTGACTCCTTTACCCATCTTCCCGACCCCTTACCCATCTTCCTGACCCTTTTACCCATCTTCCCGACCCCTTACCCATCTTCCTGACCCCTTACCCATCTTCCTGACCCCTTACCCATCTTCCCGACCCCTTACCCATCTTCCTGACCCCTTACCCATCTTCCTGACCCCTTACCCATCTTCCTGACCTCTTACCCATCTTCCCGACCCCTTACCCATCTTCCTGACCCCTTACCCATCTTCCGGACCCCTTACCCATCTTCCCGACCCCTTACCCATCTTCCTGACCCCTTTACCCATCTTCCCGACCCCTTACCCATCTTCCTGACCCCTTTACCCATCTTCCTGACCCCTTTACCCATCTTCCCGACCCCTTACCCATCTTCCTGACCCCTTTACCCATCTTCCTGACCCCTTTACCCATCTTCCCGACCCCTTACCCATCTTCCTGACCCCTTTACCCATCTTCCCGACCCCTTACCCATCTCCCTGAACCCTTTACCCATCTTCCTGACCCCTTTACCCATCTTCCCGACCCCTTACCCATCTTCCTGACCCCTTTACCCATCTTCCTGACCCCTTACCCATCTTCCCGACCCCTTACCCATCTTCCTGACCCCTTTACCCATCTTCCCGACCCCTTACCCATCTTCCTGACCCCTTTACCCATCTTCCTGACCCCTTACCCATCTTCCTGACCCCTTTACCCATCTTCCTGACCCCTTACCCATCTTCCCGACCCCTTACCCATCTTCCTGACCCCTTTACCCATCTTCCTGACCCCTTACCCATCTTCCTGACCCCTTTACCCATCTTCCCGACCCCTTACCCATCTTCCTGACCCCTTTACCCATCTTCCCGACCCCTTACCCATCTTCCTGACCCCTTTACCCATCTTCCTGACCCCTTACCCATCTTCCCGACCCCTTACCCATCTTCCTGACCCCTTTACCCATCTTCCTGACCCCTTTACCCATCTTCCTGACCCCATTACCCATCTTCCCGACCCCTTACCCATCTTCCTGACCCCTTTACCCAACTTCCTGACCCCTTACCCACGCCCTTTGACCCCTCGCCGCCTCACAAGGAGGACATACAGGTCATGCACGACACCATGACTTTGGGGAACTATCTTTTGAACCAAGAACCTCAACCATTCGGACAGACAGACACTGAAAGCTTTCGCGTCTCCCTCGACCAATACACAGGACTTGATGTCCAAGGCAGGACTTTCCGGGGTAAGGGGCACCACCACCGGCTGTTAACCGGATCACTGCCGCGTAACCGGATCATTTACTCCGTCTTGGCCAACAATTTCCATCTATTATCTGACTCACTGAGTGCCTTAACTGAATGACTCCGCTGAACTGTGCCTTTATTGCCCCCGGCACTAGTGGACTGGACACCGGGGGGGGGGGGGGAGGAGGGAGAGAAAGAGAATAAACATACACACACACACAGAGTATGAGAGAGAGAGAGAGAGAGAGAGAGAGAGAGAGAGAGAGAGAGAGAGAGAGAGAGAGAGAGAGAGAGAGAGAGAGAGAGAGAGAGAGAGAGAGAGAGAGAGAGAGAGAGAGAGAGAGAGAGAGAGAGAGAGAGAGAGAGAGAGAGAGAGAGAGAGAGAGAGAGACAGATAGACAGACAGACAGACAGACACAGACAGACAGACAGACAGACAGACAGACAGACAGACAGACAGACAGACAGACAGACAGACAGACAGACAGACAGACAGACAGACAGACAGACAGACAGACAGACAGACAGACAGACAGACAGACAGACAGACAGAGAGAGACAGACAGACAGACAGACAGACAGACAGACAGACAGACAGACAGACAGACAGATAGACAGACAGACAGACAGACAGACAGACAGACAGACAGACAGACAGACAGACAGACAGACAGACAGACAGACAGACAGACAGAGACAGACAGACAGACAGACAGACAGACAGACAGACAGACAGACAGACAGACAGACAGACAGACAGACAGACAGACAGACAGACAGACAGACAGACAGACAGACAGACAGACAGACAGACAGACAGACAGACAGACAGACAGACAGACAGACAGACAGACAGACAGACAGACAGACAGACCCTAATACAGGTACCAGAAAACTAACAACACTGCAGCAACGGTACAACCTTTATCACAACTGGACCATTAGCGCAACATTGATCACGTGAAGAGCTGACACGCACGCTATACCCCGATAAACATTCCGTAAATGCTAACCCGTCTTACACTAACCTTGTAACCACAGGGAAGGGGGTGAAACGACCCTTCGACACCCATTGGTTGGGCTGGTTAAACTTGTGTAAGGAATCATTCGGACCAATCCTGGAGTATGCGGCTCCAGCCTGGAGTCCACATCTAGTGAGACACAAGACTAAGTTAGAGAAAGTTCAGAGGTATGCCATCAGACTAGACCCGGAACTACGAGAAAAAGGCTACTTGACTTCACTTGAAGTCAAGTAGTGAAGTGACTTGACAGTCACTTCACGTCACTGGAAGACAAAAGAAGTAAGAAAGACATGATTACCACCTTTAAAGAGAGAGGAATGATAAATGCGAGTAAATTCATCAATTCTCAGATGAATTGACAGTGTAGATAAAGACAAACTATTTAGCATGGGTATAACACGAACAAGGGAACACAGGTAGAAACATAATATCTAAATGAGCCACAGAGGCATTAAAAAGAATTGTATCAACATCAGAGTAGTTAACAAGTGGAATGCACTAGGCAGTGATGTGGTGGAGGCAGACTCCATTCACAGTTTCAAATGAAGATATGATAGAGCCCAATAGGCTCAGGAACCTGTGAACCAATTGATTGACAGTTGAGAGGCGGGACCAAAGAACTCAAGCCCCTACCAGCACAGCTAGGTGAGTACACACACACCACATTCTTGTCTTCACATATATACATACACATTAATTTTGGCATGTTAAACCCTCACAGTCCAAAAATTGCCGGCAATTTTCTCACCACATTCACACATAACAATTTAAATTCTTGCAAAAGATTGGTTTAAAACATCTACAAATAATTCCTTATATACGAGATCAAATACTGTCTGCATGTCTGTTTATACAGATACACTGTAAGCGTATCTACTTGAAACATGTTCTTTCAGTTGTATAGAAAATGGAAAATCAATTGTTTACCATACAACGCTCGAGCGAATTTTGCCTCATCTGCAAACGTGACTCTTAAGATCAGATAATACAATGTAAACAGCGGCTGTGTTTACCTCCAGAGGTGAGTAGTTGACTGTCCTTTGTCACCAGGGCTGTGGAGAGGTGGTTTGACGGTAGCCGAGTTGCCTTGTTTGCTCACTTGTAAAATATACACGCTCTATCGTATACCAGCTTTAACGCGCACGCACGCATGCACGCACGCACGCACGCACGCACGCACGCACGCACACACACACACACACACACACACACACACACACACACACACACACACACACACACACACACACACACACACACACACACACACACACACACACTCACACACACACACACACACACAAAACAGATGGAATGCATTAGGCAGTGATGTGGTGGAGGCTGACTCCATACACAATTTCAAATGTAGATATGATAGAGCCCGATAGACTCAGGAATCTGTACACCTGTTGATTGACAGTTGAGAGGCAGGACCAAAGAGCCAGAGCTCAACCCCCACAAGCACAACTACATGAGTACACACAAAATCTTTACAAGGAAATAACATGATGAAAAAAGATGAAATATTCACACTGAATACCAACAGGCGAAGAGGAAATAGATGAAATCTAGAGACACAGATGACCATTGTAGTAGAACAAAATAATAAACATGCCATGTTCACAATATCAAAAGTAGGCATAACAGAAAAATAAACACGGGAGCCGCTGGAGGTTCTTGAGGTTATCTTGAGATGATTTCTGGGCTTTTTTAGTGTCCCCGCGGCCCAGTCCTCGACCAGGCCTCCACCCCCAGGAAGCAGCCCGTGACAGCTGATTAACACCCAGGTACCTATTTTAGTGCTAGGTAACAGGGGCATAGGGTGAGAGAAACTCTGCCCATTGTTTCTCGCCGGCGCCTGGGATCGAACCCAGGACCACAGGATCACAAGTCCAGCGTGCTGTCCGCTCGTCCGACCGGCTCCCCCAAGGAGAGAGAGGCAGGGCTCAGGAGCTGAAGCCCAGCAGTTACAGACAACTGACTACCAGGATTATCACTGAGATTACAGGAGCATATTTTACCAGCTCTCCCTCAGAGCTCGGAGATTACTTCACTTACATTTACGATTAGTTCAAAATAGTCAAAAGGGATTAAATTTAATGGAAGTAATCCCCGATAAAACGATACTATTAGGAATACAGATTAAGTCATCCAGATTTTGTTTCTCGCTTGTATAATGCCTTCATTTAGACTAATCATATTTTATTGTATTAATTGGAGATAATGTTAGCTGTATTGATAGTTTTATCTTCGAGACGTTCAGTATCTTTGCTTTACTTGCTGGTTTTATCTTTAAAAAAGATATGAAGGCTAATTTTCCAAAATGACCTAAACAACTATTGATTGTTAAGGGGGTTGAAAATGCTCCTCTTATGCTCCAGACTGATCATCATGCTTCTATAATGCTCCAGACTGATCATTATCACGCTTCTATAATGCTTCAGACTGATTATCATGCTTCTATAATGCTCCAGACTGATCATCATGCTTCTATAATGCTCCAGACTAATCATCATGCTTCTATAATGCTCCAGACTGATCATTATCATGCTTCTATAATGCTCCAGACTAATCATCATGCTTCTATAATGCTCCAGACTGGTCACCACGCTTCTATAATGTTCCAGACTAATCATCATGCTTCTATAATGCTCCAGACTGCTCACCACGCGTCTATAATGCTCCAGACTAATCATCATGCTTCTATAATGCTCCAGACTGATCATCATCACGCTTCTATAATGCTCCAGACTGATTATCATGCTTCTATAATGCTCCAGACTGATCATCATGCTTCTATAATGCTCCAGACTAATCATCATGCTTCTATAATGCTCCAGACTGATCATTATCATGCTTCTATAATGCTCCAGACTAATCATCATGCTTCTATAATGCTCCAGACTAATGATCATGCTTCTATAATGCTCCAGACTGGTCACCACGCTTCTATAATGCTCCAGACTAATCATCATGCTTCTATTATGCTCCAGACTGCTCACCACGCTTCTATAATGCTCCAGACTAATCATCATGCTTCTATAATGCTCCAGACTTATCGCCACGCTTCTATAATGCTCCAGACTGATCACCACGCTTCTATAATGCTCCAGACTAATCATCATGCTTCTATAATGCTCCAGACTGGTCACCACGCTTCTATAATGCTCCAGACGATCATCATGCTTTTATAATGCTCCAGACTGGTCACCACGCTTCTATAATGCTCCAGACTAATCATCATGCTTCTATAATGCTCCAGACTGCTCACCACGCTTCTATAATGCTCCAGACTAATCATCATGCTTCTATAATGCTCCAGACTTATCACCACGCTTCTATAATGCTCCAGACTGATCACCACGCTTCTATAATGCTCCAGACTAATCATCATGCTTCTATAATGCTCCAGACTGGTCACCACGCTTCTATAATGCTCCAGACTGATCATCATGCTTTTATAATGCTCCAGACTGGTCACCACGCTTCTATAATGCTCCAGACTAATCATCATGCTTCTATAATGCTCCAGACTGCTCACCACGCTTCTATAATGCTCCAGACTAATCATCATGCTTCTATAATGCTCCAGACTTATCACCACGCTTCTATAATGCTCCAGACTGATCACCACGCTTCTATAATGCTCCAGACTAATCATCATGCTTCTATAATGCTCCAGACTGGTCACCACGCTTCTATAATGCTCCAGACTGATCATCATGCTTTTATAATGCTCCAGACTGGTCACCACGCTTCTATAATGCTCCAGACTGATCACCACGCTTCTATAATGCTCCAGACTAATCATCATGCTTCTATAATGCTCCAGACTGGTCACCACGCTTCTATAATGCTCCAGACTGATCATCATGCTTTTATAATGCTCCAGACTGGTCACCACGCTTCTATAATGCTCCAGACTGATCACCACGCTTCTATAATGCTCCAGACTTATCACCACGCTTCTATAATGCTCCAGACTGATCACCACGCTTCTATAATGCTCCAGACTAATCATCATGCTTCTATAATGCTCCAGACTGGTCACCACGCTTCTATAATGCTCCAGACTGATCATCATGCTTTTATAATGCTCCAGACTGGTCACCACGCTTCTATAATGCTCCAGACTGATCACCACGCTTCTATAATGCTCCAGACTAATCATCATGCTTCTATAATGCTCCAGACTGGTCACCACGCTTCTATAATGCTCCAGACTGATCATCATGCTTTTATAATGCTCCAGACTGATCACCACGCTTCTATAATGCTCCAGACTGATCACCACGCTTCTATAATGCTCCAAACTAATCATCATGCTTCTATAATGCTCCAGACTGGTCACCACGCTTCTATAATGCTCCAGACTGATCATCATGCTTTTATAATGCTCCAGACTGGTCACCACGCTTCTATAATGCTCCAGACTGATCATCATGCTTCTATAATGCTCCAGACTGGTCACCACGCTTCTATAATGCTCCAGACTGGTCACCACGCTTCTATAATGCTCCAGACTGATCACCACGCTTCTATAATGCTCCAGACTGGTCACCACGCTTCTATAATGCTCCAGACTGATCACCACGCTTCTATAATGCTCCAGACTAATCATCATGCTTCTATAATGCTCCAGACTGGTCACCACGCTTCTATAATGCTCCAGACTGATCATCATGCTTTTATAATGCTCCAGACTGGTCACCACGCTTCTATAATGCTCCAGACTGATTATCATGCTTCTATAATGCTCCAGACATAATATATTGAGAGTATTTACCTTCCTGGTGAGGTGGTGGTAATTATCCACTTTGATGGCCCTCTGTAAGGGCCTCTCACAGCGCTCTTAAGGGGCTGTTAGACCCTAATAACAAGGTAAACATGACACTATTAACCACCACTAACGACTGTCACGCTCACATTAATTTGATGTATGTGTGACTGGATTTTCGTCAACTTCATGTGTGGTGTATTTGTTTTGTGTTTGCTACAGTTATTTGTTTCCTTGGGATGTTTGTTCTTGTTGTATGTTGTGTGTTGTATTGTGTTCTTGTTGTGTTGTATTGTGAGTCCTTGTTTTGTTGTCAAGCTCTGTTGTGTTGAGCTGCGTGTCTTTGTTGGATTGTATGCATTTGTTTTGTGCATACAAAACAAATTCTTATCCTTGTCATGCTCTTTGCAGTTTCATGTTATATTTTTATATATATATATGTTTCCCCGTGACGTGATATTCGTAGTTCACTTAACAACATACAGTTTGATACACATATTCAGTTATAAATCATTCATCATTTATCATTCTCCAGTCTCACGTGAAACTATCAATAGGTACATATAAAACCCCTGTACTCTCCCCATGGATTACAGGGATTACATAGAGTGCGTCGGTATTACTGCCGCTGTAATCACGTAATTTGCTGAAACTTAAAATCATATTGTTGAAAGAACCTTTTAAAAGCCGAGCTGAAATTATTTGCCCATTTGTTCGATGACTTTTATGGCACACTGTTACAGAACGTAGCAAATATACATATGAAATAATATTCCAGGAGTTTGTTATACTTTATGTAACATAACGTTATTAAATTAGAGAACCGCGTGGAGTGCATGACTCTGTACTTAGGGGACTTTTGGGTCGATTTGCTTCACTTCTCTTCTAGCTCAAAATATTAGGCATGCTATTCTGAATATAACATAAATTGTCATTCACTACGGTGGAAATAAACATTATATTCACTAGGGTTCTGGGAGACTCGAACCCTGGCCCCTCACGTGTGTGAAGCCGAAACTCTATCGAAATTGCTCGTAGCTCAGTCGATAGAGCTTCGGTCTAGGTCCCGATAGGCGGGAACAAAGAGCCAAAGCTCAACCCCCGTAAGCACAACTAGGTGAGTACACACACACACACACAGCACATAAACTGTCCACTTATCATCGGTCAACATACAAAATAATTCCACCCTAGTTTCCCCTCCCCCTTCCCCTCAGCCATCTTCCCCTATTCAAACTCTCCTGCCCAATTTTTCCCTGATCCTGTACGCTATATTCAGTATACAACTCCCGCACCAATTTCCAGAACTCTCCCTTCCTAAATTATTACTGACACTGGCACCTATTCCACACATCCCCCATCCTTCTACCCTAATCCTATCCTCAAATCTCTACTCTCCAGACCCACACGCCAACTACCTAATGTAACAGTAAGACCTGATTCACTAAACCCCAAGGGCACTCAAGCTTATAGCTGATGTCTTGAATCAAGCTTTTAGCTGATGTCTAGAATCAAGCTTTTAGCTGATGTCTAGAATCAAGCTGAGACCAGTCAAAGACCTCCCTTGACAGCAGGCGACTAAAACAGCTGCTGGTACTGTGCTAAAGGACCTACAAGTGTGGTATACAAATGCTGACGGACTGACAAATAAGACAAGCGAACTGCATGACAGTCGGAGATGAGGTTTGTGTTGTATTAGCAACAATCACGTAAGTTAACTAGAAGACAGACAAGTTCAGTATATATCACAAGGGTTTCGTAAGAAGAGTCGAGTACCCATGTTGTTGTTTTTGTTCTTTCTCTTCTTCATCTTCTTCTCTTGTCATTCGTCCTCTCTTAATTCATCCATCTCTTGTTCATCCGCCTTCTTGTTAACTGGTCTCTTGTCACCAAGGTAATCACAGCTTCGAGAGAGAGAGAGAGAGTGTGTGTGTGTGTGTGTGTGTGTGTGTGTGTGTGTGTGTGTGTGTGTGTCTGTGTGTGTCTGTGTGTGTGTGTGTGTGTGTGTGTGTGTGTGTGTGTGTGTGTGTGTGTGTGTGTGTGTGTGTGTGTGTGTGTGTGTGTGTGTGTGTGTGTGTGTGTGTGTGTGTGTGTGTGTGTGTGTGTGTGTGTATTCACCTAGTTGTGTTTGCGGGGGTTGAGCTCTGCTCTTTCGGCCCGCCACTCAACTGTCAATCAACTGTTTACTAACTACTTTTTTTTTCTCTCTCTCTCTCCACATCACACACACACACACACACACACACACACACACACACACACACACACACCAGGAAGCAGCCCGTGACAGCTGACTAACTCCCTGGTACCTATTTACTGGTAGGTAACAGGGGGCATTCAGGGTGAAAGAAACTTTGCACATTGTTTCTGCCTGGTGCGGGAATCGAACCCGCGCCACAGAATTACGAGTCCTGCGCGCTATCCACTAGGCTACCAGACCCCCTGGCCCTACCAGGCTCTGTATGTGTGTGTGTGTGTGTGTGTGTGTGTGTATGTGTGTGTGTGTGTGTGTGTGTGTGTGTTTTACATCGTCCGGTAAGACAAAGTTTATTGCTATTAAAGTTAATGGCCCACGACAAGAGGTAGGAAGTGTGTCTTTTGTCTCTGTCTGTCCCCCAGCCACTTGGGCTGGACGGTAGAGCGACGGTCTTCTTTCCTGCAGGTCGGCGTTCAATCCCCGACCGTCCAAGTGGTTGGACACCATTCCTTTCCCCCGTCCCATCCCAAATCCTTATTCTGACCCCTTCCCAGTGCTATATAGTTGAAATGGCTTGGTGCTTTCCTCTGATATTTCTCTCCCTACCCCTACACCCCCCCCCCCTCTCTCTCTCAGTACAATAACTTATTAAAATCTCCAACAGTAAAATACATATAAAATCCACCATATGATATTCCGGCATATCTTTACTAGGCTATCGAATTAAATTCTTATTCAAATGAAATAAGGAATATCGGACCCCCATCAGTTATTTTTTATAATTTGCTCACTATAAATAAAAATTAAACTCCAGAAAATCCACTAATTAAATCAGAAAATGCATCATTTTAACTATATATTGGCAGTAATGATCTCTCTTATCAGGTCAAGGGAAGAGTTGGCGTGGGTGTTTGATGTGGGTGTTTGGCGAGCAGTTGTTTGATGTGGGTGTTTGGCGAGCAGTTGTTTGATGGGGGTGTTTGGTTGGGGTTCTTTCTATTGTTGCGTGGGGGGGGGGGGGGGACTTTTGGAGAACATGTGTTTGGGGAGAATGTGTAATGAAGTATATGTATAACTCCACTTTGCACATTTGTATTAATTAAACATATATATATTCATAGATATACATACATACACAAATACAAACACACATATACAAATGTATTAAACAAACCTAAGAGTGATGACAAAGGAAGTATGCAAAAGGCATAACAAAAATTTCTACGAAAACTGTAAAATCTGACCTGAACACCGTTGAGAGTCTAGCAGCATCCACGAACGCCGCCGCCTCCAGAATTCTGTCAGAGAATCAGAAAAATATGAGAAACTGTCTGAGTCTTGGAGCGTTTTTGTTAAGCTGTAATGATCCAGATTTCAACAAAACAAAGACGCCCGTCTCAAAGTTTAAAATAAGATGAAACATGCATATATTATCTACTCCTCCTTATCTTGAGGTTATCTTGAGATTATTTCGAGGCTTTTTAGTGTCCCCGCGGCCCGGTCCTCGACCAGGCCTCCACCCCCAGGAAGCAGCCCGTGACAGCTGACTAACACCCAGGTACCTATTTTACTGCTAGGTAAGAGGGGCATAGGGTGAAAGAAACTCTGCCCATTGTTTCTCGCCGGCGCCTGGGATCGAACCCAGGACCACAGGATCACAAGTCCCGCGTGCTGTCCGCTCAGCCGACCGGCTCCCCCCCCAAAAAAAAGCCCTAAGCAGCAGTTTTTTATATGCCAAATTTAAGTTGCTTAGCTGGAAATATATATTTCTCAAGCGAGACTTATATATCTGATTTATAAATTACTGATTTATTACCATTAATTTTAAAGATATTTATAGCATTTAAGAGGAGCAACGAGATGAATAAGTATAATCAGAGCAGTTTACAGCTCTCCGGGTAGTTAGTCTTTAGTCAGAGCAGTAAGTTAGCCTATGAGGTAGCCATTACAGGTGATTAACTACACAATTACACGCAGATAAAGGCTGCAGTCATTAACAAGATCAATTTTGTGGAAAGTGCCTGGGTGTAGTGAGTCTCTGGAGCCGTCAACAGTGTATTAGTGCTCCCTGGAGCCGTCAACAGTGTATTAGTGCTCCCTGGAGCCGTCTACGGTGTATTAGTGCTCCCTGGAGCCGTCAACGGTGTATTAGTGCTCCCTGGAGCCGTCAACGGTGTATTAGTGCTCCCTGGAGCCGTCTACGGTGTATTAGTGCTCCCTGGAGCCGTCAACGGTGTATTAGTGCTCCCTGGAGCCGTCTACGGTGTATTAGTGCTCCCTGGAGCCGTCTACGGTGTATTAGTGCTCCCTGGAGCCGTCTACGGGGTATTAGTGCTCCCTGGAGCCGTCAACGGTGTATTAGTGCTCCCTGGAGCCGTCAACGGTGTATTAGTGCTCCCTGGAGCCGTCAACGGGGTATTAGTGCTCCCTGGAGCCGTCAACGGCGTATTAGTGCTCCCTGGAGCCGTCAACGGTGTATTAGTGCTCCCTGGAGCCGTCAACAGTGTATTAGTGCTCCCTGGAGCCGTCAACGGTGTATTAGTGCTCCCTGGAGCCGTCAACGGCGTATTAGTGCTCCCTGGAGCCGTCTACGGTGTATTAGTGCTCCCTGGAGCCGTCAACAGTGTATTAGTGCTCCCTGGAGCCGTCTACGGTGTATTAGTGCTCCCTGGAGCCGTCAACGGTGTATTAGTGCTCCCTGGAGCCGTCAACGGGGTATTAGTGCTCCCTGGAGCCGTCTACGGTGTATTAGTGCTCCCTGGAGCCGTCAACAGTGTATTAGTGCTCCCTGGAGCCGTCAACGGTGTATTAGTGCTCCCTGGAGCCGTCAACGGGGTATTAGTGCTCCCTGGAGCCGTCTACGGTGTATTAGTGCTCCCTGGAGCCGTCAACAGTGTATTAGTGCTCCCTGGAGCCGTCAACGGTGTATTAGTGCTCCCTGGAGCCGTCTACGGGGTATTAGTGCTCCCTGGAGCCGTCAACGGTGTATTAGTGCTCCCTGGAGCCGTCAACGGGGTATTAGTGCTCCCTGGAGCCGTCAACGGTGTATTAGTGCTCCCTGGAGCCGTCAACGGGGTATTAGTGCTCCCTGGAGCCGTCAACGGGGTATTAGTGCTCCCTGGAGCCGTCAACGGTGTATTAGTGCTCCCTGGAGCCGTCAACGGTGTATTAGTGCTCCCTGGAGCCGTCAACGGTGTATTAGTGCTCCCTGGAGCCGTCAACGGGGTATTAGTGCTCCCTGGAGCCGTCAACGGTGTATTAGTGCTCCCTGGAGCCGTCAACAGTGTATTAGTGCTCCCTGGAGCCGTCAACAGTGTATTAGTGCTCCCTGGAGCCGTCAACGGTGTATTAGTGCTCCCTGGAGCCGTCAACGGTGTATTAGTGCTCCCTGGAGCCGTCAACGGGGTATTAGTGCTCCCTGGAGCCGTCAACGGGGTATTAGTGCTCCCTAGAGCCGTCAACGGTGTATTAGTGCTCCCTGGAGCCGTCAACGGCGTATTAGTGCTCCCTGGAGCCGTCTACGGTGTATTAGTGCTCCCTGGAGCCGTCAACGGCGTATTAGTGCTCCCTGGAGCCGTCTACGGTGTATTAGTGCTCCCTGGAGCCGTCAACAGTGTATTAGTGCTCCCTGGAGCCGTCAACGGTGTATTAGTGCTCCCTGGAGCCGTCAACAGTGTATTAGTGCTCCCTGGAGCCGTCAACAGTGTATTAGTGCTCCCTGGAGCCGACAACGGGGTATTAGTGCTCCCTGGAGCCGTCAACGGGGTATTAGTGCTCCCTGGAGCCGTCAACGGGGTATTAGTGCTCCCTGGGACGAGTTATCACCTTTTAACCTAAACTGTCACAAGGGAATTATAATTACTGAAGTTATTTGACATTCAACAGCGGTGTTCAGGAGAGAGAAAATTGGAGTTTAATTATTTAATTGGTTTGCAGGCCTCTGTAAATATATATGTATGTTTGTATACATGTATGTATTGTTATGGTGCTATTGTCTGATTTATCTTCTACATAGCTTGATCCACTGAGCTGTGCAACTTGCCTCGTTGCTTTACCTGTTTCTAATGTGACTTTAAGCTTCTTTATGTGTTGGTCGAACAATGGAGCGTCATACTCGACAACGGGAATCAGGTACGACGTGCACATGTCCTAGTGGCCTCCTTCCCTAGATGACGAAATACTTTTCTTGGGTTCGAATCTACCGATGATGTTATACGTTTTGAGCATGTGGTACTAAACTCGGTGATGCATACAATCGCAGATCCTTCTCTATCTCAGGTTCAGAGAGTCTTCTTTCTTTCATTTGATAATATTCAATACTTTTTGTTGTTTCCTCTATAATTACAGTTATCTTACATTTTTGGCTTTGAAGTCTATTAACCACTTCATGACTCATTTCATAGGCGTATCACACTATCCTACATCTGTTTGTTATGTATGTTCAAACATTGAAATAAACCTATTTGGGGTTCATATCAAGGAACTGGAAACAATGTATATAAATTGAATAAGTTTAGGTTAAAAAAAGACCTGGGTAAATACTGGTTTGGGGAGAGGGTTGTTGATTTATGGAACATGGTGCCGGGTAAAAACGTTTGTGGAATCGCTGAATTGCTTCAAGGGGAAGGAATGACATATATTGTAAGAGTCTGAGTGGATATAAATAAGAGCTGCATCGTAAGGACCAATAGGCCTTCGTCAGTTCATTTTATTATTAAATTTCATTCTGATTAATTCATTCTTAAAATTCATTCTGATTCATTCGTTCTTAAAATTCATTCTGATTCATTCATTCTTAAAATTCATTCTGATTCATTCATTCTTAAAATTCATTCTGATTCATTCATACATAAAATTCATTCTGATTCATTCATACATAAAATTCATTCTGATTCATTCATTCATAAAATTCATTCTGATTCATTCATTCTTAATATTCATTCTGATTCATTCATTCTTAATATTCATTCTTAAATTCAACATCATTCTGATGTTAGTTTAATTCCCCTTCCAGTACAGCCGGTCGGCCGAGCGGACAGCACGCTGGACTTGTGATCCTGTGGTCCCGGGTTCGATCCCAGGCGCCGGTGAGAAACAATGGGCAGAGTTTCTTTCACCCTATGCCCCTCTTACCTAGCAGTAAAATAGGTACCTGGGTGTTAGTCAGCTGTCACGGGCTGCTTCCTGGGGGGGGGGGGTGGAGGCCTGGTCGAGGACCGGGCCGCGGGGACACTAAAAAAAAAAAAAAGCCCCGAAATCATCTCAAGATAACCTCAAGATAACCACCTGCTTGATTATCACGTCTGGTTCTGTAGTAGTCTCTTGTGTGAACTTTATCAAATACACTTCAATCACAATTATTACTTAACGTGAACAATGTGAATAAATTAAAAAATTAAACTTAACCCATGACGTTACGAGTGTTTGGTCCGACTATTGTATATATAATTCCTGCCTGTATGATATTGTATTGTTCAACGCCGAATATTCAATGGATTAAGATGATTTGCAATATGATATGACTCATTATTAAACTGTACTGTTGGGTATTTCGGTAGTAATCTGGTAGTTTGGTTCTTTCTCGACTCACAGTCGTGTATCCAGGTTCGAATCAAGCGTGGGACAGGTATGGTTGAGCTTGTTTCCTATCACCTAATCAACCTGTTCACCTAGCAGTAAATAGGTACACCAGAATTAGTGAATTGTTATGTGTGGTTACATCCTGGGAAGGGTCAGTAGTTCCACCTTGGGAAGGACCTCGAAATAAACCTAAAGTATATATATATATATATATATATATATATATATATATATATATATATATATATATATATATATATTTATAGATATATATATTTATAGATATATATATATATTTATAGATATATATATATATTTATAGATATATATATATATATATATATATATATATATATATATATATATATATATATATATATATATATATATATATATATATATATATATATATGCCGTTGATAATTCTTGTTGTGGAGAGTCTTGTGTGGTGCTTGGTACTACCCGAGCTGTACTTCACTAGATATGGGAAGTACACAGACAATACGTAAGTGTACGCCAGTACACAATGTAGTGTATGGAAGTATGGCAAGTCCTTTGCTGTACTTTCTCTAGCGGTATTTCCTTAGCGGCACTTCCCTGGGTGTACTTCCGTAGGCGAACCATCTTGTATACGATGTGCTTTACATCTTAAAAAACTCGGCATCAGGAAATGCTCAGATTAACTCTACGGTATTGTCAACCCTTGTTTCACTTTCTTGAGAAGCCGTTGTACCTGCGGTCTGAGAGCGGAGGTCTTAGTGTTTCAGGCTAAGTATTGAGGTCTTAGAGCCGAGGTCTTGGCGAGGCGGACTTTTACATGTGCAGATATCGACACTACTTATTTAATCATATATTTTTCGATTAATTGTACGTAATGGACAGTTTAGCAGTGAATAAAGAGAGAGAGAGAGAGAGAGAGAGAGAGAGAGAGAGAGAGAGAGAGAGAGAGAGAGAGAGAGAGAGAGAGAGAGAGAGAGAGAGAGAGAGAGAGAGAGAGAGAGAGAGAGAGAGAGAGAGAGAGAGAGAGAGAGAGAGAGAGAGAGAGAGAGAGAGAGAGAGAGAGAGAGAGAAGAGAGAGAGAGAGAGAGAGAGAGAGAGAGAGAGAGAGAGAGAGAGATCTCAAGAGAGAGAGAGTTTTGAGAGAGAGAGAGAGAGAGAGAGATTGAGAGAGAGAGAGAGAGAGATTGAGAGAGAGAGAGAGAGAGAAAGAGAAAGAGAAAGAGAAAGAGAGAGAGAGAGAAAGAGAGATAGACAAATATACACATACTAAGACAGAACAGAAGACTGAAATCAGCTCCTACAACAACCAAAATTACCAATCCTTGTAAATCAACACATATCTCAAGCCTTAAACCTCACAGTTGCAGGCTGCCTGATGCACTAAGCACCTGCCCAGCAACACTGCAAGCTTGTCTACACTGCTCTTCACAAACCTCCTAACTATCCTTGTTCCAAATGAGATTAAATAAAATAAATATCTTAAATATACCCGGACTCACCTTATGGCGTCTTGGCTCGTCCCAAATGATTCCTTAAAGCAAAATCTTATTTAACCTTATATTTCTGATTGATTTGTTTTAATTTTTGGAAGATTTGTTTTCAGACGTTGCCGACTGCACCTCCCGTGCGAGGAGCGTGTGTCTTTGATGTGTACATTCAGCTAAAAACTTTAAATGATGTTAACATTTAAGGATGTCTTGCTCGTGAGATGACAGAGACAACGGTGACATTAAATTAGTTATTAATGCGATTAATTTTTGTATATTTGATTCTGATTGTCTCTGTATCTCTCCAGTAGAGGCTACCATGAAGGGTCTCTCCAGTAGAGGCTACCATGAAGGGTCTCTCCAGTAGAGGCTACCATGAAGGGTCTCTCCAGTAGAGGCTACCATGAAGGGTCTCTCCAGTAGAGGCTACCATGAAGGGTCTCTCCAGTAGAGGCTACCATGAAGGGTCTCTCCAGTAGAGGCTACCATGAAGGGTCTCTCCAGTAGAGGCTACCATGAAGGGTCTCTCCAGTAGAGGCTACCATGAAGGGTCTCTCCAGTAGAGGCTACCATGAAAGAACTCTCCAGTAGAGGCTACCATGAAAGAACTCTCCAGTAGAGGCTACCATGAAGGAACTCTCCAGTAGAGGCTACCATGAAGGGTCTCTCCAGTAGAGGCTACCATGAAGGGTCTCTCCAGGAGAGGCTACCATGAAGGGTCTCTCCAGTAGAGGCTACCATGAAGGGTCTCTCCAGTAGAGGCTACCATGAAAGAACTCTCCAGTAGAGGCTACCATGAAGGGTCTCTCCAGTAGAGGCTACCATGAAAGAACTCTCCAGTAGAGGCTACCATGAAAGAACTCTCCAGTAGAGGCTACCATGAAAGAACTCTCCAGTAGAGGCTACCATGAAAGAACTCTCCAGTAGAGGCTACCATGAAGGAACTCTCCAGTAGAGGCTACCATGAAGGAACTCTCCAGTAGAGGCTACCATGAAAGAACTCTCCAGTAGAGGCTACCATGAAGGAACTCTCCAGTAGAGGCTACCATGAAGGGTCTCTCCAGTAGAGGCTACCATGAAGGGTCTCTCCAGTAGAGGCTACCATGAAGGGTCTCTCCAGTAGAGGCTACCATGAAGGGTCTCTCCAGTAAAGGCTACCATGAAGGGTCTCTCCAGTAGAGGCTACCATGAAGGGTCTCTCCAGTAGAGGCTACCATGAAGGGTCTCTCCAGTAGAGGCTACCATGAAGGAACTCTCCAGTAGAGGCTACCATGAAGGAACTTTCCAGTACAAGCCATGAAAAACCTTTCCTGCAGAGAGATGCCTCTAATTCTCTCCAGCATAGTTAGGGACATAATTAAGTGGGTTAAGGGCATAACTAAGTGTGTAACCAAGTGGATTAAGTTATTAACAGTGAGTTACGGGCGCCAACGTGTGATTTAGAGGAGTAAACAAGTGAGCTGCGGCCGTGAGCAGGTGAGTTAGGGGGCATAATCAAGTAAGTTAGAAGAGCAAACAAAATGGGTTACAAACAGGGTTCTGAAACAGAGCCCACGACGATAGGTACAAGCGGGAGATATTTCATTTAGTCTGGATATTGGGAAGTGCAGACACGTGAACAGGTTGTGGGGGCGAGGAATGAGCTGCCGGCTTGTGGTATTGAGAGACACAGTTTAACAGGTTTCAGGAATAAATTGGATTGGTATGATTGAGAGCGGGTGGATTTAAACAGGACCCGCGCCTTGTATAGGCCAACAGTGTGTGCCTCTGGTACCTGGTGCTTGAACTTTGCCTCTGACGCCTGGCGCTTGACCTATCCCTCTGATGCCTGGTTCTTGAGGAGTATATATGTATATACACCTGTCACTATACGACTGAGACAGTCAGCTACGACTGACAAGGTAGCAAGGCAGATAGTGACATTTGTAATGTCACCCTCACACACTCTACCTCTCCCCCACTCAACACACACAAAGGACACATCACTATAGACCTCTCAACCTCCCACAACCTCCAGATATCTACGCTTTTAAGGGGATCTATATTGTGTCCATTGTGTGTGTGTGTGTGGAGAACTCGGACCATAAATTTCATGTTGATCTTTCAGTGCACTGCCATTACTGCAATTGGTTTCACTGTGCTGTGTGGGCACTCTAGTGGTGCCAGACTGGCCCCACACGGTCTGCTGGGTGGCCTCCGAGTGCCGGAGTCCTGTACTGGTCACTGTGCACCGTAGCTACACTGTAGCCACCATCTTGTAGTCACTATGCACGGTATCTACACTATAATCACTGTCCTACTCACCAAGAATACCCAAATATTTGTGGCCATTTTTATCAACATTGTGCATGAACTTTAATGAACCAAGTGAGTTGAATCTTGAATCATGCTTTTTACAGACAGAGAAGCAGACATTCCAGCAGACAGGGAAGCAGCCACTCATGCAGACAGATGAGCAGAGAAGAACGCAGACAGGCCTCTGTTCTCCAGGTTCTGTAGCACCGCCCACACCAACCAGGTATCAACCAGGTATCAACCAGGTATCAAGACCACCCTCATTCACAATTCTCAAGATGTTTCCTTAATTTCTTGAAGCCGAAGCCGCGTTTTATCCTTATAAAGTGCTTATCAGGTGGTCCCTTATCTTTAGTACCACGTCGTTCGCAGAGTTTAACGACCTCGTTAAAAGGTAGCTACAATTTTAATACATGGTCGAATTATGTTGTTTATTCTATGCTACAACGGGCTTTGCATACACTTTGTGTGTGTCTGTCTCTAGGGAAATATTGTGTTATCAGTGCTAGTGGTAGAAGTGGTAGTGGTAGAAGTAGTAGTGGTAGTGGTAGAAGTAGTAGTGGTAGTGGTAGAAGTAGTAGTGGTAGTGGTAGAAGTAAACGCGTTAGTGGTAGATATAGCAGTGCTACGTCACAGTGCCACCAGGGGGCAGCTCCCTGACCGTCACAGTGCCACCAGGGGGCAGCTCCCTGACCGTCACAGTGCCACCAGGGGCGGTTCCGTCACAGTGCCACCAGGCGCAGTACCCTGACCGTCACAGTGCCACCAGGGGCGGTTCCGTCACAGTGCCACCAGGCGCAGTACCCTGACCGTCACAGTGCCACCAGGGGGCAGCTCCCTGACCGTCACAGTGCCACCAGGGGCGGTTCCGTCACAGTGCCAATAATCACATCAAAAGAAACTTCAAATCCGAGATGCCTCGAGCAGGCACTATTACAATGGTGGTGTAATGGACTTGCACCATTACATTTACCCTCAGTGTTATGGTAATGGAGCCATGGGACCTTAACAGCCTGGCAGCTGGTGTAACGATGCCAGCGAATTAGGCAGTTAGTGGTAGTGTCCGCTGCTGGTGGTCCTACAACCTCCAAGACGGTAAGATAACTCTTCTCAAGTAATTTTATTTACTTTTAAACTGTTCAATTGGATTATGCAACAAGGCAATTCAGTCTAGAGCAGGTATTCTTTTGTCTTATAATTGTTAAATCACTCTAGCACAAGATTGCGTCACTAGGAGCTAATTCGGGCCGCTTTTAATTATTCCTGAAGATTCTTTCAAAGTTTATATATTAAACTTTGGTATTGTTTGCGAGTAAAACATTTTGGCAGTCATTATAAAACAGGACTGAGTGTTGGAAGGGTCAATTAACGAGGGGTCATTACCTGTTCGCTAGTGTCATATTAACCACTTGGTTTAATATGGCTTGAGTTGTGGCGTACAACAGGCGTAGAGGCGTACATAGGGGGGGGGGGGGGGTGTGCGTCAACTATCTCCCACTAGAGTGTGACTGTCTCCCACACACACACACACACACAATGGAATGGAATGGTGAAAATGGAATGCATTAGGAAGCAATGTGGTGGAGGCTGACTCCATACACAGTTTCAAGTGTAGATATGATAGAGCCCAATAGGCTCAGGAACCTGTTCACCTGTTGATTGACAGTTGAGAGGCGGGACCAAAGAGCCAGAGCTCAACCCCCGCAAGCACAACTAGGTGAGTACAACTAGGTGAGTACACACACACACACACACACCAGTGTCCGTGGTGCACTTGAAACAACTAGTGTCTCCCGCTCCTGGAGCCGGTGGTTCGAGACTCCTGTAGTGCCCAGAGGAATGAAATGTTACTGAGAGTAGTTAACCAGTGAAATGCACAAGGCAGGAATGTGATTGAGACAGACTCAATACACACCTTCAAGTGTAGATATGATAAGAACCCAACAGGCTCATGAACCTGTACACCAATTGACTGACGGTTAAGAGGCGGGACCAAAGAGCCGAAGCTCAACCCCCGAAAGCATAAATAGGTGAGTACACTCACCCATACATCTCTCCCACACACACACACACAAAATCCCAACAGAAATAAGTCATAGCAAACCCAAGTACAATACATATATCAAACCCAGCAACTACTCCCATCAAAGAGAGTGCCAGAGCCCCGTGACGCCCACTCTAATTTACGCAGCAAACAACCTTACAAGTCTATGGTAATTGGTACATATTTTCGTGAGGTAGTTTGGCCTTCCGTGAGTACCACTCTGACCAGGGTTGTAAACACTGTCCTTGTCTCAGTGCCACGCTAATGGGGTGATTGATGGATAAAGATTAAGCCACCCCAAGAGGGGGCACGGGCATGAATGGCCCGTAAGCAGCTAATGGGTTGATGTATTCACGTAAATGTACTCACCACAAGATACAGAAATCGGAGATTCGACCCTGGAATTCTCGAGTGTGAGTCGAGAACGAGCCAGACTGTACTACCGGGATCCTTCAAGCTTAAGCAGGCAAATCAAGCAGTAACAGCTTAGTATAAGCAGGTGAGTACACAGGCACAGGTAACACGAGACTCATTAACGCTACACAAAGCAGATGTAGTCGAGGAGTCACAATAACGTGGCTGAAGTATGTTGACCAGACCACACACTAGAAGGTGAAGGGACGACGACGTTTCGGTCCGTCCTGGACCATTCTCAAGTCGATGGCATTCAACTGACATTCATTCAAGTCGATATCGACTTGAGAATGGTCCAGGACGGACCGAAACGTCGTCGTCCCTTCACTTTCTAGTGTGTGGTTTGGTGCACAAAGCAGAGCTTCGGTGAACATCATAACGTAATCCAGCCAGAGCCAGCTAATTATTATGGCTAATAAGATGTCTCTATAGAGCAGTTACTCTGGAGATGTTGCTCCAACACTCTTTTCCTGGCTCTCGTGCACTCTAGTGAGTCCTTCCAGGCTCTAGTGCACTCTAGTGAGTCCTTCCTGGCTCTAGTGTACTCTAGTGAGTCCTTCCAGGCAAGTGTGGCTTTACTTATAACAATACTTAACACAAAGAAACAGGAATATAAGTTCGTAAGTAAGTTTGTAAGTAAGTTTGAAGTACGTGGGTGAAGCACTTACGGCGCTTCGATTCGAACAGTATGAGGTCATCAACAAAGCAGAGTTCGGGAAATATTCGAACGTCATCACTAGTAAGTCGTATGTAAACCGCTTTTCATGCATAAGCAAGGGGGGAAGTTGGCGGGTTGATTAATGAGCATTTGGCCTTTGTTGATGAGGACGCGATGCTTTCAGGAGTGTTTTCTTTGTCTTGTGAGTAAATAATTGAGTTTAGGATTCTTGAGTTGCTAAAGTTTGGTCTCGTGTTAACGATGTATAGAGATTCCGAGATGTTGAGATCTAGTCAAGCAGTACTCTTCCAGTACTGACTTCGCAGCACTGGAAATACCGGCTTCGCAGTATTGGAAGTACTGGCTTCGCAGTATTGGAAGTACTGACTTCGCAGTATTGGAAGTACTGACTTCGAAGTACTTCCAGTACTGACTTCGCAGTACTTCCAGTACTGACTTCGCAAGTACTCTTCCAGTACCGCGAAAAACCTGAGTGAGAGGATGGTTCATGACTTCATAGTGGTCTCTAATATCAGAGGACGCAACTTGCCTAAGAGACAAGCCTATAAGATAAGTTACCACAAATGCTCTCAGATACGGTATTTAAGTCTTCTTAAGGTATTCCCCACTTAACCACAGTTAGATCATTTTAAAAAGGTAAACATCGTAAGATCTTAACTCAAAGAGTAAAAGCTCTTTATGTTTAACAAAAAATCAAAAGTATGATTATTATTAAACAGAAGCTGAAAGGTAATTTGTGGATAGGAATGTCTAAGACTATTCCTTTCTGCAGTCAGCAAGTCACAATAACGGGGCTGATTAGACACTCAGCCCACACGTCTGAAAATAAAGGAGGTGAAGAGGGTTCAGTTCCCACTGGACTTGATAATAGTCCAGGACTTGAAAATAGTCCAGGACTTGAAAATAGTCCAGGACTTAAATAAAGCAAGACGAACTGAATTGTCGTCACTTTACATATTTTCATATATATGGGTTGACTGTTCAATGGTCCATTCTAATATGGCATCACATAGTACTCAAATAAGGACGTGTTGATACAATGAACAACTTCACATGTACCAAACAGGTGCACACAACTATGCAATTGTTGACCAGACCACACACTAGAAGTTGAAGGGACGACGACGTTTCGGTCCGTCCTGGACCATTCTCAAGTCGATTGTGACATACTTCATACTTCAGCCACGTTATTGTGACTCATCGCCTGCAACTATGCAATTGTTTAACAACGTCGTGTGTCCTCGTTATTCAGTGTACACTCATGACGGAAAGTGTACATGCATTGATTGTAGTGTTTGCTGATGTACCAGAAATAATACTACACAAATAATAATATACATGAAGTATGGTAAAAATTTTCACTGAAGTTGGCCCAATCGGGTTGGGATTGTGATTCACTGTACGTACAACAGTGATCTGGTAATGGGACAGGCAGACCAAACGGGGCCGACCTGAGTGCATATACTCGGATATTTAATTGTGTTCTTCTTTTTACTGTAAATGTTGACTACAAACGACACACGCAAATAAATTGTTTAAACAACAATGTTTTGCAAATGTAAGGGATTGTGTCTCTATATGTAAACTAAAAATAAACAAAAATGTTTTATTTGTTGTAAATAATTTACATCTAATTTACGAGTGGAACTCGCAAATTAATTTGTTAAGTTTGATCTTATGAATGCAATAGAATGCAAACACTTGCAGCATTATAAATTGTGATATATCTCAATTAAAAATCGAGTAATAATAAGTTTTTAAAAATTTCGTTCATATATAATAGGAATAACAGATCAAAACTTGGCTCAGAGCCATGTGAATGTTCTTATATATATATATTTCATTTCTGGCAGTGAAATGGAAGTGAAACATATTTGAACTAGTTCATATATTTCTCAAAATCATCCTACAACTATATATATATATATATATATATATATATATATATATATATATATATATATATATATATATATATATATATATATAATATAATAATATATATATAATAAATAATTATTATCCTTATTATTATCAACAACATATGTGGATTTTATTTGTATATGTTATGATAATATATACACAAATATATATTTTTGATTTATATATTGGAAAAGTATGGTCAATATATATATACATATCGACAATAGAACTGAGAGTGGAAGGGAGAGGATAATCACTAAACTTTTGACAAGTTTGATTAGAAGCCCTGAAAACAGTTTAATGAGTCAACAGACTATTGTTGATTGCGTCCCGCAGCGCTACACATCAATCACAGTCTGACGGGACAAACACGCGAGCTATGAAGCTTCCTCTTGTAGGAACTTCCTCCTGTAGGAACTTCCTCTTGTAGGAACTTCCTCCTGTAGGAACTTCCTCCTGTAGGAACTTCCTCTTGTAGGAACTTCCTCTTGTAGGAACTTCCTCCTGTAGGAACTTCCTCCTGTAGGAACTTCCTCCTGTAGGAACTTCCTCCTGTAGGAACTTCCTCTTGTAGGAACTTCCTCTTGTAGGAACTTCCTCTTGTAGGAACTTCCTCCTGTAGGAACTTCCTCTTGTAGGAACTTCCTCTTGTAGGAACTTCCTCTTGTAGGAACTTCCTCCTGTAGGAACTTCCTCCTGTAGGAACTTCCTCCTGTAGGAACTTCCTCCTGTAGGAACTTCCTCCTGTAGGAACTTCCTCCTGTAGGAACTTCCTCTTGTAGGAACTTCCTCTTGTAGGAACTTCCTCTTGTAGGAACTTCCTCCTGTAGGACTTCCTCTTGTAGGAACTTCCTCCTGTAGGAACTTCCTCTTGTAGGAACTTCCTCCTGTAGGAACTTCCTCCTGTAGGACTTCCTCTTGTAGGAACTTCCTCCTGTAGGAACTTCCTCCTGTAGGAACTTCCTCCTGTAGGAACTTCCTCTTGTAGGAACTTCCTCCTGTAGGAACTTCCTCCTGTAGGAACTTCCTCCTGTAGGAACTTCCTCTTGTAGGAACTTCCTCTTGTAGGAACTTCCTCCTGTAGGAACTTCCTCCTGTAGGAACTTCCTCTTGTAGGAACTTCCTCTTGTAGGAACTTCCTCGTGTAGGAACTTCCTCCTGTAGGAACTTCCTCTTGTAGGAACTTCCTCTTGTAGGAACTTCCTCTTGTAGGAACTTCCTCTTGTAGGAACTTCCTCTTGTAGGAACTTCCTCTTGTAGGAACTTCCTCTTGTAGGAACTTCCTCTTGTAGGAACTTCCTCTTGTAGGAACTTCCTCTTGTAGGAACTTACTCCTGTAGGAACTTACTCCTGTAGGAACTTCCTCCTGTAGGAACTTCCTCTTGTAGGAACTTCCTCTTGTAGGAACTTCCTCTTGTAGGAACTTCCTCTTGTAGGAACTTCCTCTTGTAGGAACTTCCTCTTGTAGGAACTTCCTCTTGTAGGAACTTCCTCTTGTAGGAACTTCCTCTTGTAGGAACTTCCTCTTGTAGGAACTTCCTCCTGTAGGAACTTCCTCTTGTAGGAACTTCCTCTTGTAGGAACTTCCTCTTGTAGGAACTTCCTCTTGTAGGAACTTCCTCTTGTAGGAACTTCCTCTTGTAGGAACTTCCTCTTGTAGGAACTTCCTCTTGTAGGAACTTCCTCTTGTAGGAACTTCCTCTTGTAGGAACTTCCTCTTGTAGGAACTTCCTCTTGTAGGAACTTCCTCTTGTAGGAACTTCCTCTTGTAGGAACTTCCTCCTTGTAGGAACTTCCTCTTGTAGGAACTTCCTCTTGTAGGAACTTCCTCTTGTAGGAACTTCCTCTTGTAGGAACTTCCTCTTGTAGGAACTTCCTCTTGTAGGAACTTCCTCTTGTAGGAACTTCCTCTTGTAGGAACTTCCTCTTGTAGGAACTTCCTCTTGTAGGAACTTCCTCTTGTAGGAACTTCCTCTTGTAGGAACTTCCTCTTGTAGGAACTTCCTCTTGTAGGAACTTCCTCTTATAGGAACTTCCTCTTGTAGGAACTTCCTCTTATAGGAACTTCCTCTTGTAGGAACTTCCTCTTGTAGGAACTTCCTCTTGTAGGAACTTCCTCTTATAGGAACTTCCTCTTGTAGGAACTTCCTCTTATAGGAACTTCCTCTTGTAGGAACTTCCTCTTATAGGAACTTCCTCTTGTAGGAACTTCCTCTTATAGGAACTTCCTCTTATAGGAACTTCCTCTTATAGGAACTTCCTCTTGTAGGAACTTCCTCTTGTAGGAACTTCCTCTTATAGGAACTTCCTCTTATAGGAACTTCCTCTTATAGGAACTTCCTCTTATAGGAACTTCCTCTTGTAGGAACTTCCTCTTGTAGGAACTTCCTCTTGTAGGAACTTCCTCTTGTAGGAACAATACAAAAGCATTGTAGAGTCTCCGTCTCTCTACACTGCTTTTGTTCCAGCATTATGTAAGTTACTTTCTGGTGTGGAGATTGGGGAATGGTGATTGGTGATTGGGATTGGAGGGATCTCAGGTGTTGACAGGTGTTCTCTGCTCGCGGTTATAGAGTCCTACGACCTTGAATTGCCTTTATTCGACATCTTTTTCCGCAATCTATTGCTCTGAGATATTTGTTTTATTTCATGTAATAGGGTTCTGACCTTTGCGTATTTTCAAGGGTGTAACCTGAGATATATCTCAGCTTAGTTTCAGATAGATATATCTGACCAGACCACACACTAGAAGGTGAAGGGACGACAGGTCGTTTCGGTCCGTCCTGGGCCATTCACAATCGACTTGAGAATGGTCCAGGACGGACCGAAACGTCGTCGTCCCTTCACCTTCTAGTGTGTGGTCTGGTCAACACCTCAAGATATCCTCAAGATAACCTCAAGATATCCTCCCATACAAACATATCACAAGTGAGACATTTTCTTTGCGTTCGACGACAAACATTACAAATTAAAGGCAAGAAAATATGTTTCCCTTCATACTATGTTAATCGGGTATATAATTAGCCTTGAAAGACTTGACAGGAAACACACTAACGTGATGCATCAAATGAACAAATCCACAAGGGCCGTGACGAGGATTCGAACCTGCGTCCGGGAGCATCCCAGACACTGCCTTAATCGACTGAGCTACGACAGGGTAAAAGGGTTGAAACCGAAGTTTTACTGAACTTACTGGATCCCGTAGCCTCTCCGAGGCACAAACCAGGCTTTTACACAACCCCCCCCCCCTGCACCCGAGCAATGTCAGTGTCTGGGATGCTCCCGGACGCAGGTTCGAATCCTCGACACGGCCCTTGTGGATTTGTTCATTTGACAGGAAAGAAGATTAATAAAGTATGAAGACTGGGTTTAGAATAAATCACAATGTAGCGCTAATTAAGAGCTGGTAGGATCCACAAGAGACGGTCTACAAACTGTAGTTGTATTACCTTTTTAACAGAGAAATCAGAGGTTTACAACAACATATTATCAAGAGTGTAGAGTACTGTTTTGTGTCGTGTTTATGTGGGGTTCAAAGAGTGTTTGATGAGTGATGAAGCGTGAAGCCGTGAAGATGAAATATCTCAATAAATCACATTATGTAGATTCCGTTCACCTGGGCTCTAGGAGACTCGAACTGTGGATCCCACGCGTGTGAGACCTAAGAGTGTTGTTGTTATAGATTCAGCTACTCGGAACAAGTTCCAAGTAGCACGGGCAATGGTGAGCCCGTAGAGGACTTACCTGGCACAGGAGCGGGGCTGTGACCTAAGATTGATTGATTGATAAAGATTAAGCCACCCGAGAGGTGGCACGTGCATGAATAACCCGTAAGTGGTGGCCCTTTTGAGCCATTACCAGTATCAAGAGCTGATACTGGAGATCTGTGGAGGTTCGACTGCACCCTGCGTGACGGGAGATGTCTCCCGTGTGAGACCTAAGCTATTAGGGGGTCTTAATAAGAACATAAGAACATAAGAACAAAGGTAACTGCAGAAGGCCTATTGGCCCATACGAGGCAGCTCCTATTCTATAACCACCCAATCCCACTCATATACTTGTCCAACCCGTGCTTGAAACAATCGAGGGACCCCACCTCCACAATGTTACGCGGCAATTGGTTCCACAAATCAACAACCCTGTTACTGAACCAGTATTTACCCAAGTCTTTCCTAAATCTAAACTTATCCAATTTATATCCATTGTTTCGTGTTCTGTCCTGTGTTGATACTTTTAATACCCTATTAATATCCCCCCGGTTATGTCCATTCATCCACTTGCAAACCTCTATCATGTCACCCCTAACTCCCCGCCTTTCCAGTGAATGCAAGTTAAGCTTTGCTAATCCTTCTTCATATGAAAGATTTCTAATTTGGGAATTAACCTAGTCATCCTACGCTGGACACGTTCAAGTGAATTTATATCCATTCTATAATATGGCGACCAAAACTGAACTGCATAATCTAAATGGGGCCTAACTAGAGCAAGATACAGCTCGAGAACCACACCAGGTGTCCGCTACCAACGCTGCGATTAACAAATCCAAGTGTCCGATTTGCCTTATTACGAACATTCACGCATTGATCCCCCTGTTTTAAATTCTTACCAATCACAACTCCCAGATCCCTTTCGCAATCCGACTTCGCAATCACAACACCATCTAGCTCGCATCCTGCAACTCCTATCACCATTACCCAACCTCAGAACTTTACATTTATCAGCACCAAACTGCATCTGCCAATCCCTTGACCATTTCAAAACCCTATCCAGATCAACCCGAAGTGATAGTGAGTCCTCCTCCGAACTAATTTCCCCACCGATCCTTCGTATCATCGGCAAATTTGCAAATGTTGCCACTCAAACCTGAATCCAAATCATTTATATATATTATAAACAACAGAGGTCCCAGGACAGAGCCTTGAGGCACTCCACTTACAACATTTTCCCACTCTGACTTGATTCCATTTATACTAACTCTCTGTTTCCTTTGGTATAGCCATGCCCTAATCCAGCTTAATATAGCACCCCCAATACCATGAGACTCTATTTTTTTAATCAGTCTTTCAAGTGGCACTGTATCAAAAGCTCTGCTAAAGTCAAGGCACACAACATCGCAATCCTTACCACCATCAACTGCCTCAACAATGCTAGAATAAAAAGATAACAAATTTGTTAAACATGAACGGCCATTTATAAAACCATGTTGCGACTCAATTATTAATTTATGTTTTTCAAGATGAAGACGAATTTTATTTGCTATTATAGATTCGAGTAACTTTCCCACAATAGACGTTAGGCTAATTGGTCGATAGTTAGACGCAAGTGATCTATCTCCTTTCTTAAAAACTGGTATCACATTAGCAACTTTCCAAAACTCTGGCACTCTGCCTGACTCTATTGATTTATTAAATATGGTTGACAGTGGGTCACAAAGCTCCTCTTTGCATTCTTTAAGCACCCTGGCAAACACTTCATCCGGCCCTGGGGATTTGTTTGGTTTGAGTTTTTACTATTTGTTTAAGAACATCCTCCACCCTGGTAACTGCTAAACTCGTCAACCTGTCCTCGTCCCCACCACATAGACTTGTTCGGCTGAAGGCATATTGTTAAGTTCCTCTTTAGTAAATACAGATACAAAATATTTATTAAAAATACTACTCATCTCTTCATCACTATCTGTTATTTGACCTGTCTCAGTTTTTAATGGACCTATCCTTTCCCTAGTCTTAGTACGATATAACTGAAAAAAACCTTTAGGATTTGTCTTTGCTTGCCCTGCTATGCGAACTTCATAGTTTCTTTTTGCTTTCCTTATCTCTTTTTTAACATTTCTAACCAGTTGTACGAATTCCTGTTCTAAAGTGACCCCCCCATTTTTAATCCTTTTGTACCAAGCTCTCTTTTTACCTATAAGGTTCTTCAAATTCTTTGTTATCCACTTTGGGTTATTAGTATTCGATCTATTCAATTTGTATGGTATACTACGTTCCTGTGCTTTGTTTAGAATATTCTTAAATAAGTTATATATTGAATCCACATCGAAATCCCCATTTAAGTCACCTATCGCTGGGTTCATGTCTCGCTCCAAGACCGGCCCACACCCCATACCCAAGAGTTTCCAATCAATTTGACCCAAAAAATTTCTTAGGCTATTAAAATCAGCTTTTTCGAAAATCTGGCACTTTAACAGAATTTTCTCCTACTGGTCTATTCCATTCTATGCTAAATCTGAAAAGTAAGGAATCTGTTAATAAGGAAAGTTTCCATAAGCAGCATCCTGCTACCAAACTGTATTTTATTACGTAGCTTACTTTCTTGCTTGGTCACGTGAGGGAAGGCTAAGATGAGAGTCATGTCCCGCCCATCTTCTTGAGGTTATCTTGAGATGATTTCGGGGCTTTAGTGTCCCCGCGGCCCGGTCCTCGACCAGGCCTCCACCCCAGGAAGCAGCCCGTGACAGCTGACTAACACCCAGGTACCTAATTTACTGCTAGGTAACAGGGGCATAGGGTGAAAGAAACTCTGCCCATTGTTTCTCGCCGACGCCTGGGATCGAACCCAGGACCACAGGATCACAAGTTCAGCGTGCTGTCTGCTCGGCCGACCGGCTCCCAATGGACCATTGCCATCATATTTGAAATGTTGACTGTAACGACAGAGGAATTCATTGAGTAGATTAGAAATAAAAAAATATCTGCCTTTAAATCTGACACATTCTGGGATGCATATTACCCCGCTGGGAGAGTCCAACCTCACCACTTTGTAGTATTGGATGGTAGTCAATAACATCCCACTGGAGAAACTCTTCGCGGCACCACTTTACATAAATGTGACCACGGAGGAGTTTTAAGAGATTGTATTGCAAGGTCGTGTTGTACCAATTTGAAAGTGGCGACGACTAGAAGTGATTTCTCATTCTATTTGATGTTTATGGACTGAACCCAATGAGAAAGAATAGACTTTGCACGTGCGGCATAACAATGTACATCAACAAGTACAAAAATCAACACCATTGCAACAGA